GTATGCTCTTCCAGACTCGGCTGCACTTTTCCTGCACTGTACTTTTTTTCTTCCTGACTGTTAGCACAGTCACTGAGTTAATTCTGTGAAGGTCTGTAGCAGCACTGGCCCAAAAAAAAAAACCTATAATGTGTGCCACACTTGTCATTTTAAATTTAATAAAATCAGGTAGGAGCTAAAAACTTAAAAAAACGTGTGAATTATATTCTACTAATATTTTTATTTAACCCTCTATATCTAAAATACAGTTTCATCATGTGATCAATATTTTTATATTGGGGGAGTGCCTTATATATTCTGAAGCTTGATCCGGGAATCTTGTGCATGCTAAGCACAGGCATTATCACTAAGCTACACACCTGGACCGATATTCTTAAGTATTAATGCCATATTTTGCATTCCTTCTGTCATGCTGTCTTCAGACACTCATGTATGCTTTACACTTGCAAGACTTTCAGTTCTACATTCCACATGCATGTTCAATAGCCACGCGTGTGCGGGGCTCCAGATTTTCCTGCACGATCTTCAACAGCATGAAGTGCTGTGTGCCCTGCAATCCGGCATGAAAATATAAAATGCAATTACATTTACTTATTTTCCCTGCACGGCAGTCCTTCCATAGCTAGTCTCTAGGCCCTTCAAAGAAGGGACTTTCTCTTAAGAGTCCTGTGTCTCTCAGATGCTGCACCCCAGCTCAGTAAACATTTACTGACAGATGACTTGGATGTACTTAGTAATCCTAGATGGAAAAACACTCTCGACAGTGTGGCTTCTGGTTGCACTACACTCATTCCTCAGAGTGCTGTTTATTCCAGAATGTAAACGCTCAGAGTGTGTGGAATAGTGCCAAGTACAGCTAGTATCAGTAACTCCACTCTGGCAAGTGTGTGAATAATGCAAGTGGCAAAAATGTAAGAGATGGGAAGAGGAAGAAAAAGAGAGAGAGGAGAAAAGACCGAAGTACTTCAGAGTAAGACGCCAAGCAATGTAATCTCAGCACCACACCTCAAAGGGCAGGTCCAATTCTTAAAATATTTACTTAGCAGTAGTCAAAAAAATAATGAGACACTTTAAAAAAAAAAAAGACTTTGGAGCTGGAAAGGTACCTCAACTGTTAAAGGTTAGGTTCAGAACCAAAAATCTAAAAACCATACTTATTTTATTTTTACTGATGTTTATGTGTGTGTGTGTGTGTGTGTGTGTGTGTGTGTGTGTGTGTGTGTGTGTATATATATATATATATATATACACTTATCGATACAGATAACAAAAAGGCCACAGATTTCAGATCCCCCTTGAGCTGGGGTTGCAGGTAGCTGTGAGTTTCCAGTTACATGTGCTGGGAATTGAACTTAGATCTTCAACAAGACTAGCATATACCCTTGGCCACTAAGCCATTTCTCCAACTCAAAGCTAGAATAATTTTTTATTTGTTTTATTTTTCCTGAGACAGGTTCTCACTGTGTAGCTGGCCCTTGAACTCACTATATAGAACAGGATGGCCTGGAACTCACAGAGATCTTCCTGCCTCTGCCTTTCCAGTGCTAGGATTAAGGACAAGCACCACCATGCCTAGCATGAGACACTTTCAACTTGTAACTGCTGTGAAAGTAGAGGTTTTGTTTAAGTCACAACAAGGGATGTCATAACCAATTGCATCCAGGATATTATAAAAATGTTCAGATCTTTTCATGAACCTTCAAAAATGCAACTTGGTAAGAGAAAAATGTCAAATTTCTAGCCAGACTGTTTTTAAATTTTTAGATAAGAATCATCAAGTCACATAATACGAATGCAAAGGACTCAAACTTCACAACCCATGTTGTGATAGAACTAAAGACTTTGCTACCAGCTAGGTTTACAAACAGGGATTTCATTGTTCCTGGCATCTAGAAACTGCAATTTGTGATCTGGAAAATCTCCAAGGGACAGTGAAAGAGGCTGAGATGAAAAGGTGTGACTCATCTGGTGAAGCACTAACTTTTCCTTGGGGAATAGGGTATCTTGGTATTTTATGGTTACACTTTTTAAGAAATCAAAAACTTGACAATGTATCCTGACAACAGGAATGCTTTCCACATTCTGTTACATTTGGCCAAAAATGTCTCTGGCCTTTACATCTTTTCCTGTGTGTATCAATGACAAAGGAAACTTCAACAAAATTCAGTGATGTCTGTTAAGTATTAAAAAGCCACCTCCTGGAGCTGGAGTTTAAGATTGTACACTGCTCTTGCAGAGAACTAGAGTTCTCAGTTTCCAGCACCCACATCAGCTCACAACCACCTGTAACTCCAGCTCCACAGGATCGGATGCCCTCTTCTGGTTCTGTTGGCAGCAGCATTCACATATACACATACACAAGGGTGCACACATAAAATAAATAAATAAGAAAACTTACCTCCAAAACATAACTCACAGAATGTTCACAGCTGAGACCAAAGAAAATATCAGCGTCCTCAGATCAGGCTATCATTTAACCTTTATCTGAGAGTTTCTATTTGCATAGAGATAGTGATTAACACACAGAGATCCACAACTGCCTAAAGTGTGGAGAATAAAAGAATGTCCTGTGGAGATCCCCAAACAACTCAAGTTGACACCAGGACAGAGGGATACTCTCCAAAAACCGACAGTGGGGCCCTATTGCTGAGGACAACATCCACACAGCTCACTAAATGTAGACAGGTCCATCCAGCCAGTGCCTATGTGGAGCCTTTGCCCCTATGTTCTAGTCTCTTTGGTGCAGAGATATGCTCTGCAGGCTACCAAAAGAGAAACATGGATACCAACCCAGCCATAAAACCTTTGACCTATAATCTGTCCTGCCTGCAAGATGTGCTGGGGCAATGGTTGCTCAGAACTTCTGGGAGGGGCCAATCAATGTCTAATTTAATTTGAGGCCCACTCCATGAGAGGGAACCCATGCCTGACATTGCTCAGATGTCCAGGAACCAAAGACTGGATAGCCCAGAGACGTAGGATAGAACCAAACATGACTTAAAAAAATAAATAAATGGCTCCTGCTGGGGAGTATTAAGTGTTACATTTGTTAATGCTGTGGAACATTTGTTTAATGATGCAAAGATGTGTTGCATTCCTTTATGTTGCATTTATTTAACTCTGTGAAGCTGTGTTACTTTGCCTGTCTAAAACACCTGATTGGTCTAATAAAGAGCTGAACGGCCAACAGCAAGGCAGAAGAAAGGATGGGTAGGGCTGGCAGGCAGAGAGAATAAATAGAAAGAGAACAACATAAGAGGGGAATCAAGGAACAACAAAAGAAGGAGAGAAGGATGCTAGGGGCCAGCCACCCAACCACACAGCCAGCCACGGAGTAAGAGTGAAAGTAAGATTTACAAAAATAAGAGAAAGATAATAGCCTAGGTGCAAAAGGCAAATGGGACAATTTAAGTTAAGAAAGGCTGACTAGAAACAAGCCAAGCTAAGACCAGGCATTTATAATTAAGAATAAGCCTCCATGTGTGATTTATTTTGGAGTTGGGTGGTGAGCCCTCCAAAAAAGCAAAACAGGAAAAAAAAAACACAGACTCCTGATGATATTCTGCTATACTCTTCATCAGTGCCTTGTCCAGCCATCATCAGAGAGGCTTCCTCTGGCAGCAGATGAGAGTGGATGCAGAGACCCACAGCCAAACATTAGGCAAAGAGAGTCTAAACTGGAGGTTTCCATTGGGTCCCTCCCCTGGGAGATTGGAGAATCTGGAGGAAGAGGGGCAGAAGAATTTTAAGAGTCAGAGGGGATGGCGGACACCAAGAAAACATGACCCACTGAATCAACTAAGCAGGGCGCATATGGGATCACAGAGACTGAAGTGGCAAGCACGGGCCCTGCATGGGTCTGTATCAGGTCCTCTGTGTATATGTTGTGGCCGTTAGCTTGGTGTTTTTGTGGGACTTTTAACTGTGGGAGTGTGTATATCTTTGACTCTTTTGCCTGCTCTTGGGACTCTTTTCCTTCTGTTGGGTTGCCTTGCTCAGCCAGTGTGAGGATTTTGCCTTGTCTGATTGTATGTTGTTTTAGTGTGTTTGGTTGGTTGCTGTGTTTGCTTGTTGTCTCTTGGAGGCCCACTCCTTTCTGAAGGCACAGGGTGATGGGGAGGGGGTAGAAAGGAGAAAAACTAGGAGGAGTGAAAGGAGGGGAAATTGTGGTCGGGGGTGTATTGTATGAGAGTATGTATTGTATCAATTTTAAAAGAAAGAAAGAAAAGAATAGAATGTTCAGCCCTAAAAAGACCATATATAACTCCACTCCACCTCCAAAGTCTAGGCTATTGTTACATGAGAGTGACCAGAAAGAATATAAAGGGCCAGAGGAAGCTGATGACTAGGAAGAAATGTCTTTTGGACATGGCAGGGCAGTTGCACATATGAACTCACCGTGGTCACAACAGCATGTACAAACCCTGTGCAAGCACAAACCAGACCAGATCCCAGCATGGAGAGAAGAGCTGGGCACGCAATCCCACCCTCGTCACGGACTGAGTAGTTAGCTGCTGGGAAAGGAGAGACAGTGTTCTCTATGAGTGCAGTCCCAAGTGAGCTGACCACACTCCAGTGGGAAACCACACCTCCAAGAGTATTTGGGCGGTACAAATTAGTCTTGACGGGAGAGACACAAAGACTAGATGAGTGGGGAACGAGGGAATTCCCTGGGAAGAACTGAAGAGGAAGATGAATATGGTCCAAACACATTATATAAAATGTGAAACTATCAAAGGAGGGAAAGGTAACATTGAAAAACATACAGCTCAGAGGCAGGGCACTTGCCTAGCATGAGTCCCCCTTCCCTAACAAAAGACCATAGTCCTGGGGCATGATGATACACACCTATAATGCTAGTACTCTGGAGTGTGTGGAGACTGAGGCAGAAGGCTCAAGAGTTCAAGGCCACCCTGGGATATAGAATGAGATGCTGTTTCAAAAAAAAAGAAAAAGTTTTTTTTAAAAAAAAAAGAAAGAAAGAAAAGAAAGAGGTAACATTGACTCTTTCAGTGTTGGAATATTCCACTTTATTTTCCTTTCAGCTTTCTTATCAGAGACTAAGCAAGGGCTTGAGGAAATGCCATGTCTCTACCAAGTCTTCCTGAGCAGATTCCTCTTCCTTTGGTAATTTCCACTCATTGCTGTTATTTTCCCACACACGTAAATCCTAGCTCAACCACACAGCTATAAGTGTCTCAAAGCCCTGCACCATGTCTTACTCATCTCCTGTGGCTCCTGGCAGAGCCTTCAATAGGATCAGAACTCAATACCTCATGACAATGTTGATGATGATTATGGAACCAACTTTCAGCAGTCCATCCAAAGGGCTAGTGTGGTGTTGGCCTTAATGGAGTCACAGAAATATTCTGGAATTTCTCTCTCTTTTCATCCCATTCTTTGAATATCTTTTAAAATAAAGAAGATTGATGGGCCATAAACATTTTTGTTCCAAGAATCTCAAGTTGAGTTTAAATTAAATCAAAAAACCTTTTTTAAAAATCTAATTATGGTCTAGTATCCAACAGAGCTTCCCCGACACCCTGCCTTTTCGGATTTTTTTTTTTTTTTTTAGTGTCTGGCCATAGTAAAATTTTAGCTTATAAATATATACCTACCATGGATGTTCTCCAAATTTAACGTCCTAAAAATTAATTCTGAGCACTGGATCCATTTAAAATGTGGTTGCTACTCAACAATTTCAGAAGAAAGGAAATTGCATCATATGTAACATTTAAAGGAAACTCAGAAGCCAAATTCTCTATAAATAAGAAAAAATGGCCTCGAAAATAAGCAGCAAGAAGCCGGCCGGGCTGGTTAACCTCAGCGGAAAGTCCTCTGGCACCATGAGCCGCTCGCCCAATGGATGCGCAGTAAGAGAATGTCACATGTGACCTGCAGAGGGGGGAGTGAAGTGCGTGGGCTTTGGATACCAACTAGGGAAGTGGTTCAAAAGTAAGAGGCCATTGAGGAGAAGTGGGTTGGTTGAGCTGTGGCCTTAGTGTTACCCCCGGGAAAGCGAGTAGTAACACTCAGTTGTGAGAGGTGCATTAACCTCTTCAGACCACTAGGGTTCAAAGTGTTTCCTAAGGGGTAATTTATTAAATGGCTCCTAATTGCTTGGTAATGTACCTTCCAAAAGTCATTTCTCTGAGCTATGATTAGGCCTGGGCTTTGCCAGGAGCTGTCACTCTCTTTGCAACTCCATGAGGGGAGTCGAGGATGTGGGAGTGGAGCCCCCGGGCAGCTGCGTCTCCAGCCGGAGAGTCCCGCCATCAAAGCCAAACAACTTTCCATTTCGCTTCCCAGGGTGTAAATATTCAGATACAAAATTCGTGCACCATATTTTTATGCGTCTTATAAATTATATATACATTTGGATAGAACATGAGTAACCAGCTCAACTATTTGGGAGGGGGAGAATGACATTTTTTGAGACATGTGAAACTGTTCATTTCACATGACACTTTCTTCAAGATATAAAAATGATCATGGTATATATTTGCTTCTATCACCTATGAGCAAATTTTCTTAGGTTAACTTTGCTTCATCTGGGGGCCAAGCAACATGAATTTCTGACACATAGCTGGCCATCCTTCAGTGGTCCTCCTCGGTAGTCCTCCTCAGAGTTGTCTTCAGGTGCCCTCTTCAGTGGTCCTCCTCGGTAGTCCTCCTCAGAGTTGTCTTCAGGTGCCCTCTTCAGTGGTCCTCCTCGGTAGTCCTCCTCAGAGTTGTCTTCAGGTGCCCTCTTCAGTGGTCCTCCTCGGTAGTCCTCCTCAGAGTTGTCTTCAGGTGCCCTCTTCAGTGGTCCTCCTCAGGAGTCCTCCTCAGAGTTGTCTTCAGGTGCCCTCTTCAGTGGTCCTCCTCAGGAGTCCTCCTCAGAGTTGTCTTCAGGTGCCCTCTTCAGTGGTCCTCCTCAGGAGTCCTCCTCAGAGTTGTCTTCGGTTGCCCTCAATAGTCCTCGGTAGTCCTCTAGCATGGCTCTTTCACCGGACTGCTTAGAGGCTGATTCTGTTAATCAGCAAGACCAGCAGAGGGAGTGCAAGAACACTGTTACAAAAAAAAAAAAAAGAAAGGAAAAAAGAAGAAAAAAAAAAACAATGAAAGGAAATCAAAATTTTAAAACGTATTGCCAAGCAAGAGTTGAAAAGCTGGTGTTGAACTGCAGAGGCTTAACCTCAATGTGGAGGAAGCCTTAGAAATGCCTTTCACGTACCAGGCCACAGCCGAGGGAATACCACTTTCAGTCGATGCTAAAGTCTACACCCTCGTTGACTAGCAGGATGCAGGTGGCCCGACCTTTTCAAGCCTGCAGCATAACTATACCAATAACTTGTATTAAGACAATGAGAACTTTGGGCCACAGCAGAAGGTGATTGCTCCAATGGAGAATGTCTCCAGAGTGAAAGTGATGTCATTTATGTCTTTGTCTAGGTCCCTGTTTAGACCTAACAACAACGGGAAAATGTCTGGGTAGTATTCCCCAACTCACTGGGATAAGATGTCAAACTAGGACCTGGAGTTAGCTACATATCTAATTAGCATAAATGGATGAAAACCACTAGACTACAATAACTAAAATAACTCAGAGGGGGACTTGTCACAGAAAAATTATACATTCAAATCCCAAATGTGGTTTTACAACTCCCATTTCCAGACCACTTAGAGAAGTTGTGTATTTTCTAAACACTTTTTGAGACTAATTGTTAGAAAGGGCTCTTGTTCAATCTACTCAATGAGTTATTTAAAAGTTCCGTGTCCCCGGAGGGGAGACTTACCTACCTGTGTTTCCCAGACTTCAGTAGAACTTCTTAGGAGATAATTGTGGGAGTCCCTAACTACTGTTTCCCAATGGACGTCCCTGAGAAGCTGATAACACAGGTAAATCAGGCTTTACCACAATGAGTCAAATCAAATTCTTTGTTTTACAAGTTTTGAATAGCCCCAGGATCCTGCAACTTGTCTGGAAGTTTGGCAGAAAAAAAAAATAAGTTTGGAAAGTAAATATTCAGTTCTGCTTTCTCCAGTAGATGTCACTTTCTGTACATGGGATATGATACCAAGATCTAGAAGATTCGGAGTTCCTCATGATGATGGCAAAAATGAACATTGGGTTCCAGACATATGCAACCATTGTTAAGCTTTCAGTGGTATTTTCTTGTGTGTGGAAACTTAAGGAATAATTAAGGCAAAGTAAATTCAGTTAGTTAAGTGTCTTCCACATCTCTAAGTAGTGTAGGTCATTAGGCATAACATGCAATAGGACACTACTAGTACCTGTTCAATGGTTATTTTAAAAAAGTATGCATTATTCTAAACCACAGTATAAAATGACTTGATTTTTAAAATACTGTTTTCAAGAGAATAAGCTATTATTATTAATAATGCACCCCATGTTTACCAGGAATCTAGTTAAAAATGAGATTGCTAGCATATGACTTTTTTGAAGTTTCTCTTCCTGAGTTATCTATAACATTTCAATATTCACATCCCCTTCACATGGCTGAGGTGGGGAGGGGGACTCTAGCTCCCTGAAGTGCTCCACTCTACAGCAAGAGATGGCTGTACCAGGAAGAAAAAGGGAGGAAGGGAGGGAGGGAGAGAGGGAGGGAGGGAGGGAGGGAGGGAGGGAGGGTAAGAAAGCATTACAAATTTTAACATCATTTTTATAGCTTCCACACGTTCAAGAATGAAAATCAAAAAAATTAATAGCTGGAATTAGATTAATACTTCCTAAAATACTTTCAAAAATGCTTTTTTCGTTTCTAAACATAAGCCTCATTATGCAGTTCTATTTGTATTCCAATGCAGTTGAATTTTATATTTGAGTTGTTGTAATGGATGACTTTGAAATGACAGAGGAGAGGACATTTTTGTTTCTTATTGATCCAATCAAGGCTTTTGCTTGTAGCTACCATACACTGAAATAACGGAAAAGGCTACAGAGGCTTTTGAAAGTGTGGCCTTCTGGGTCACATTTGATTCAGTCGTTGTATTGACAAATGTGATTTGATAATTGCCAAATTAAGCTCATGAGAAAATTAGTTAAACAACTACTTTTATTTTTTAGATGGTTCAAACAAAAGATATGAAGTTTTGGAGCAAATAATGATAGGATACTAGAACAGAAATTCCCCCAAGGAGGCAAAAACTGGGCACGCAGCATTTTACAAAACAAAGAAATCTGTCGGGCCGTCAAAATAAACAACATCTAAATGGTTGCTTTGGGTTTTAAATATTTTTGCTCAGAGTAGACCCGAAGAGATTCTTATCTGAGGTAGAGATTTCTTGATGTGTTAACTGGGCAGTTCTGCTACTATTCTTGTGTATACTGGGTTAAAACAAAGAGATTATAGGGGTTGGGGTAATAAAGGATTCAAAGGCATCACCTTTAGGCTCCTGGCTTTCAGAGATCATGGCAAGTGCTTTGCTCTTAATTCAGAGTTAGAAACCCACGCTGTAATAAAGCCCAGAATGTTGTTTTTAACCATTTTGAAAAAAAGAGAATTATTACCAAAAAAAAAAAAAAAAAAAAAAAAAGACACGACTGGCAGCACAGAACCCAGGCTGAAGTTGCCCAATTTCGAGAGAACAGACTGTGCCTTACCCGGTGCGCGCACGCTCCCAATCTTGTACTCAACTGTATCTTCAAGTAAATATTGATCTGTCGTTTTTATGAAAGAAAAGAATTGTCACAAAAAGTGTCTTGGAATTGAAGTCAACTGCTTGACATCACCAGGCTGGAATCCTGTAGTTCGATTTGAACCCTGGGCGGCAGAGCCATGCAATGTGCTCCTGGCCTCGGGCTGTAGACTCCTATGCAAAGCAGGCGCCAGCCCGCCTGTTAGCCTGGCTCTAGGCAGAAGCCAGGAAGGCTGCAGCTCCTCACAGCTGGCCTTCTGCTTTGGTCTCTGTCTCTCTGTCCGTTAAAAGACAATCTCTATCTGTCTCCCTGTCTCCCTCCCTCCCTTCTTTCCTTCCTTTCTTCTTGCTACTTTCTTTCCTATTTAAATACTTCTCATTTTCCTCTAACACTTACCTACTTAACAGGTTAGAACAGAAATGCCAGTACACAGCGAGAAACCGTCAGTTGCTTCATTCCGCACACTCGCTTATTTTAGCTTCATAATTTCATTATCATGGGTGCTGCATGTACTACAATTCTTTCAGTTAAATCGTTTTATTCCATATCAGATGACTACAGTGTGAAATTTGTGGCATACATGTAGTAACAAGAATGACAAAATAAATAATGTGAGACTCCACCACGTCCCATACCCAGCTCAAGAAATGTGCCACCACCAGGTCTCTTTTGGACCTTGAGCCCTGCTCACTCATCCTCCTATTCCTCCATCTCATACTCCTCTCCCCGTCCCCTCTCAAAATGCCTCCTGGAACTTTTGAATATAGACTATTTATTTAGGAAAACATAATAAAACTTAAAAAAATTGAAATATTCAAGTAATTTTGATTAGTTAAAAGACCATGTGTATTATTTTTACAATTCTGTGATAGACATATCAAAAGCTCATGAAAACTAAGAATGCTATCACCTGCAAGTGTCTGTCAAATTCTACACAGTGCTCTGAACATTCTAGCACTTCAAATAGATGGTGTTTTGTGCAGCATACAAGTTTGGGATTCCAGAAAGTACTACCCCCTTCTTCCCTTCCTCTCCCTCATCTCCTTCCTTCCCCTCCTCTCCCTCCTCCCCTTCCTTCCCTTCCTCTCCCTCCTCCCCTTCCTTCCCCTCCTCTCCTTTCTCCCCCTCCCCGTCCTGTGCCTGCTGCTTTTAGACAATGCCTCACTCTGGAGACCCAACTGTCCATAAACTCACAGCAGTCCTCCTGCCTCAGCCTCCAAAGTGCTGGGAGTACACTGTTGCTGCCATCCTTGGCTCCAGAAAGCATTTCTCGGGATAGATATTGTATTCTTTTCTGAAGGCTTTGTTTTCAATCTGTAAGCTTATAAGACCCCTTACATCACCCAAAGTTAAGATCAGAATTTAGATAATTGATTAGTAAATTTTTAGGTGCATTATTAAGGGAAAGACTCTCCAAATTACTGACCCTGTCTCAATTTTCTGAAAATGAGCATCTCCCAGTAGGGAGGGGAAAGTATGTCCCAAGGTTCTTGATGAAGAAGGTCTGGGAAGTGAGAATGAAAGCAGAGACCTGCAGTGGCATCCTGTCTTCCCAGACTCCGATCGCCTTCCCTTCTGCCTTCCAAAGGGAGTGCCATGCAGTCACCATGCAAATCCAGGAAATCAGTTCTGAGGTCACTCAGCAGCCAAGTTGACACAAGTATGTACCTGCTTCTGCTTTTTTCCCCTTCAGAACATCTGTCTATGATACAAGGACACATTCAGTCTTTACATCTTGAGCCAGCATTGTTGACCTGGAGGTAATTTTCTGTAACTCAGGATGTGGACATTCATTTGGCATGGACAAATGTCTATGAGAAACTTCACCAACCAGCTCCAGCTGTGGTTTTTAGCTAAAACTCAGTTTTATGCTAAAGTTAGACTCTGCTAAATTCACACATGTAGTTAGTACTAGTGTCTTTAAATTTTGTTTAAAGTTCCTAAGAAAAGGCTGGAGAGATGGCTTAGCAGTTAAGAGCATATACAACTCTTCCAAAAGACTAGAGATGTGTTCCCAGGATCCACACCAGGTGGATCACAGCAACCTGTACCTCCAGAGCATCTAAAGACCTCTTCTGATTGTCTCAGATATCTGCACTCCTGTGCACATACCCACAGAGACACATACACAATTTAAAAGATGATAAAAAATACATCTTCAAAGTTACTAAAAAATTCCAATAAATTCCAAAATAGGAAAATAGGGTATAGGGCAGCGATTGTTAGAATTATGAATAAGAGACCCTTGATAGATTTATCACCTGATGGCACATGTGATAAGTGTGATAAGAGACTTATAAGTGTTACTAGTGTTCAATATTAAACATAATTTTGAAAAAAAAACAAATTAATAATAGCAGATAAAAACATTGTATAAAAATATCTGTCACAATATCACTTACATACCTTTCATTCCATGTATGTCAGAAATACTCTCAATTTTTTAAGCTTTATTTTATTTTTACTTATATGTATATGTGAGGAAGGGCTATACACACCTGAGTGCAGTGCCCAAGGAGGCCAGAAGAGGGCAGAAGATCCCAGAGGCTGGAGTTACTGGTAGTTGTGAGTCTGCAGCCATGATTGCTGTGAAGAGAACTCTTGTCCTCTGCAAAAGCAGCAAGCTGCTGAACCACCTCTCCCACCCCAGATTCTTACTCTGGTTCGTTACTGCATTCATTCTCTTTTTTTTTCCACAGCTGCATCCCACCTTAAGTCCTTCGATTAACATTTATTTGGACTAGTTCCCTCATCTTCAAAGTTCATCTTTCAATTATTTTACATGCTACTACCAAACTAAACTTTAGAGATTACAGAACACACACCCCCACCCCACCCCACCCCACACACATGCCTGCCTTGGGCTCTTTTTTGATGATACCCTTTTTAAAAAGAAATAATTCTAAGCCAGGTAGTGGTGGTGGCGCACACCTTTAATCCCAGCACTCAGGAGGCAGAGGCAGGCAGATCTCTGAGTACAGATCTCTGAGTCTGATGCCAGCCTGGTCTACAGAGTGAATTCCATAATAGCCAGGGCTACACAGAGAAACTCTGTCTCAAAAACAAAAAACAAGAAAGAAAGAGAGAGAGAAAGAGAGAGAAAGAGGAGGAAGGAAGGAAGGAAGGAAGGAAGGGAGGGAGGGAGGGAGGAAGGAAAAGGAAAGAAAAGAAAAGAAAAGAAAAGAAAAGAAAAAAAGGAATAATCTAAGGCACTTAAACTAGTCTTTTATGATTTTCCCCCAGCTTCTCGGCAACTGGTGGGAAGTGAATACTATTTCTGAATGTAACAGGTGACCATTCCTCACACTGTGAAAACCACTTCAATTACAGAACTCTATCTTGTCCCTTCCCTCATCTATACTTTTACAAGCTGAAATCCTACTGGTCTCCCAAACTAAAGTCCTAGTTATGTGGGCAAATCTTGAATCCATGCTGTGTCGAGAGCACCCAGTGCACTTTGGTTGTGCTTATAGGATAGCATTCATCCTTCACTGCTCCGTGTTTTCATTGTGAAGGGTATAGGTCTGAACTCTTCTAACCTTTCGATGAGGTGTGTGCCTCACAACCCTTTACATACAGAATCATCCTAGTATTTGTCATACTGGACGTTTGAGTATATGTAGTAAAAGGGGTAAACACTGCCATCTCTCATCAAGATATTGATGGAAGACTACCTTTTTTTTATAAATAATGTAAGACCAGCCTGAGAACCTTACTCATACTAAGCAAAGAAAATTACTCAAGTGTTATTTGTTTACACAATTTATTATAAATTTACTACTTTTTTCTCAAAGAAAATTTACCTTTTGTATTTAAAAATCCTAGCAATTATACTGGATCAACAACTCAAATAATTAAGAGCCTTCCAAGAGGTAGACAGTTGCTCAAATACCACTTAGTACTAATATAGTATGATGAGGAGTCAGAAAGGTTCAAACAGAATGCCCTGAAACCACAAAGAGCCATTTATCTTTGAAAAAATGACATTGGGATGGAATGTGGACCACTCCAGCATCTCTGAAGTATGCCTTATGAGAGAAGCAGCTGTTGGCCAAGTAATGAAGAGGGAAAGACTGATACAGCCGTGTAGGTGATATGCGGTCTAGTATAATTCAAGGTCATCCCTCCGTTAAACTACAACAGAATGGTACCATGAATTGTGCTGACCGAGGCTGAGGAAAAGACCAAGTGTGACCCAGGTACATCATGTCAAATAATTGTGTGGGCATGATTTATAAGCTTACTTGTACTTACTCGATTTCCATACTCCGTCTTCTAGACCCTCTTTTTATAAGGTTTTAGGAATTCTTCTCACAATCTCAACCTACAAGAAGGCGCCAAATACGTGACCACAGCGTCAGTATTCAACAGGATAATTTTGGGATAAGGTAGCTATGCAGATCAGAATTAACAAACTGTTAGAAACTTTTATGCACACTGGCCTGCTGGTTCCTTGCAGCCCCAAGGACTGAGCCACAGTTCAAAAACCAACCTCCCCTTTCATAATTGGGGAAATAAAGACCCAGAGAATTTGAAGGACCTTGTGCAAAGTTCATCCCGGGAAGTTAGTGGCAGAATAGTAGAGGAAAGTGCCTTAGCCATCGTTCCTCTGTTCTTTCAAGATAAAATTAATTCTATTTGCATAGCAAAATGAGCCTGAGGTCCAAGGGCCTCCCGAGGTGACATTTAGGATAGAGACTGTTCCTTTTTTATGATAAGAAAAGACTTTATTAGAATTCAGTAATTTATTGTTAAATAATTCAGAATCAATGCTAAGGGTTTTATTCTATTCTTTCACTCATTTTGATATTGAATTACCAGAAACGACAGCTCTTAGATCCTCTAAGTTCCTGTGTCTGACAGGAGCAGGAGTGCGCCAGGGACTGCCTCAGTGCTAGCAGCCACTGTAGAGGAGTCCGGGAGAGTCTCTCCCATTTGAAAAAGAAACGCTTAGATGCTGTGCTTGCCTATAAGCACAGCTCTCAGGAGATGGGGCAGAAGAGTTTAAGGCCAGCCTAGGCTACATGGCCAGAAACAGTCTCACAGTAAAAACAAAGAAGAGCTAAGGATGTATCTCAGTAATGGAGCACGTGACTAGCATGCACAAGACCTGGGCTTCAATCCACAGCACAGCCAAAAAACAAACAATAAAACAGTGGAAAGGCAGAAAAAAAATGAACATTTTCTTCTCACCTAATACCCTGTGAGGAAGACAATATTTGGATTCCCTGATCAGGACAAAATACTGTTTTAACACGGTTGTTAAGTAATTTAAAATACACACACACACACACACACACACACACACACACACACACACACACATACACACACACACACCAAAAACACATTTATTGAAAATTACCAAATGTACAGGTATTGCAAATCACCTTTGTCAAGAAAGTTTGGGCCTATGCCTTAGTGAAAATAAAGTTTGGACAGCCAGGGCTGTTACACAGAGAAACTCCGTCAGATATTAAAGAGGCTGGGGATGTGACTGGATGGTAGAGTGCTTGCTTAGTGTGTAGGATGTCCAAAGTTCAATACCCGGCACTGCGTAAAACAGCTATGGTAGGGCTGGCTTATAATCCTAGCCCTTGAGAGGCAGAGACATGAAGAGCCGTTGTTCAAGGCCATCCTTAGCTATATAGTGGGTTGGGTTTTTTTTTGTTTGTTTGTTTGTTTGAAAGCTAATTAATTAGTTTTTCACTTTTTACTTTATTTCTATTTTGGCATGTGTATGTGTGTCCATATTGTATGGGTGTCATGCATGGATGTGGGTATGTGAGCTAGCATATAGAGGCCAGAGGGAGACACCCCAAAGAAGGACACGAGGTGTCTTTCTTCCCCTATTGCTCTCTGTCTTATGTCTTTAATGGTCTCTTAATGAACCACAAGGTCACCATTTTGGCAGGCTGGCTGGCCAGAGAGCTTCCTAGAATTTGAGATCCACCTATTTTGTCTCTCAATGCTGGGGTTACAGGCACACACAGCCATGCCTAACTTTTC